AAAATGATTTTTAAGGATTTCTGTCATTCGTTATGTAGGTACTATTAACAACTTGAAACTACATGTTTGAATTTTGATTTAGATACGTGTTAACATTTTCAAAAAAAAGCCATCTATAATTAACAATTGACAGAAAAATGGTARGTTATCTGTGATTATCCTCATTAAAAAAATCCAAATTTGTAGAAATATGGTCCTTAATTAGTTAATAATTATATGTAATTATGCTTAAAAATTCCAAAAATCACCACAGTTTGAATAAATTAAAAACAATTGGGATTGAATCTCTCAGCGTATGATGTAATTACATGAAATATTATACAAACTTGTTACTTGAGGTTGACTCACAGCTTTACTGGTTATCGTTTAATGATGAATCTCCTGAAACTCGGGCCCTGCTAAGTCTTTGGCAAGTGGACCCCGTGCGTCGACCGGGCTACCTTGCCGAATCCGCTGTGAAAGTATATGTACCTACCTACGCTATGAGAGCTGCAGCAGTTCGTCTCGCTCGACGGACTCGGACATCGTCTTCAGTGGCGGGGGCGAACGACCTCTACACCGCAGAGTTTTGGAAGGCCTCGGGGAGCGATGACATTACTGCTACAGCAGCGCCCGGCATCACTCTGTAGAAGTCATGATGACGATATGTAGGTGGCGTTGCGGGCATCAGTGGCAGCGGAGGCGGACGTCGTCACGCGCGTTCCTTATGATGCACTATATTAATATTATACTATTTTCATTGGTGGTTTTTTTTTTTAAATCTTTATTTCGTTTTTCGCCCCGTCTCGTTTTGTTGGTCGTTTGCGACACGGTCTCTCGGAGATTTGGAACGTTCGTCGTTCCGCCTGCTCGATCACTCCATGTAGTCAAAAGCTTTGGCCGAAGAATAACAACATGCATATTGCCGCCATCGCTCACAGTATATAATACCACGCTGTGTCGTCGTTTTCTTAAGTTTATATCTAATTCTTATACATCTTTTCTATTCGGCTTTTTTTTTGTTCCCGAGTCATGACGATTATATCGCCGTCGCCGTTGTTGTTATTGTTGTCATTATGTTGTTCATTGTTTGTTGTCAGTCTTATCCTCTTGCTTCCACTAATTCTCCCACTTCATCTGGTCCATCGTTTTAAAACGAATAATGCCTAATGCGTTTAGAAAGGAGATTCGCGCGTTAAATCACCTACGATGTCGTGGACGTTTTTATTTTTTTTTGGTGCCACCGCCGGATTGATCCCCCTCCCACCTTTTGATCATCAGCACCCGCGAGATTTTATATGCCGATTACGCGACTTGTGAGAACGACGGTTAAAACGAACAGTGKGTGTATTATTTTTAAACATACTGTTTGTACCTTATAATATTATCGTGTACGTACCTATTCCTATTACCTACGTATATTATGCAATAATTATGACGGCTTTTTTTCATACATTTTATTTATTTTTCAACTACGCTTGGGAGTAGGGGTGTTAAAACATATTATTTAACTAGTTTTAGACGACTCTTTGCAAAATGCATTATGTGCAACGTGATATACATATTAATAGGTAATCTGAAGAACAGATTGCATGAGCAATTTGAATATTACAAGTGTAATCCAACTGTTTTGTCACGACTTCATTAATTAAGCGTGTATAATCGAAATAAATGTGATTTTAAGAATATTGTAGTCATATTACTTATAAGTTATCATATTAATTATAAGGATCTACTCTTTTTTGTCTTTGCATAATTTTAATGAAACTTTTTTATAAGTATGTAAACAATATAATTCATGACTCATGAGTAATAAACTGAAGAATAATGATCGTTACATATTTCGTATGTACATAGTGATGTGTAATATGCTTTTATGATGTTATTTTCTCAATAGTTGTAACTATTTTCTATTATAATTTATTCAGTAAAATAGGGCCAATAGTATGTAGCCCTTAACCGTTCATCTATTGATGATAAATATTATCCATACATATTTTATAGTTTTATGCCTATATTATGTATGTTATACATATTTTTATAGTTATTTTATAAGTATATAATATATATACATACGGTTTGTGCAAGCTTGTTAGTAGCGTATATATGGGGAGGCTCAGGGGTTCAACCCCACTCCTAAAATAAAAGTATGTGTGTATAGAAAATCATTATTATTAATTATACTGTCTAGATTCCTGATTCAAGATTTCTGCACCCCTCTCCTCCCCCGTCTTCAGTAGTTAAATCCTATATACACCTCCGAGGCTTATAGATGTAATATTTCATGTAAAACATATTACTTTTTATTTTTAGTAATAAATTGATTTTTTGAATTTAAAATCTATATTAATATTAGTTAATAATCGACATATTTGAATATTAAAATAATCATGTAATATTTGATAAATGCCGTTGTCCATATAATAATATCGGGAGATCATCTAATTTCACATTGATTATCATGCACATTAGTAAACAAGCGGATATTCTCAATACCTTAAATTGCGTAGACAATAATCTTAATTCTTAACTGTATTTGAGTTTACCGTTTGTTCAATAATTTATATGTAAATTTTTTATTTAATCATTGGAACGGATTATCGAATAAAAAAATATGACCCATTTATCGGTACTTTTATGATTTATTATACAACACAATTGAAAAGTTTATACAATATATGATTAACCTACTACATGACATTTATGCATATTATATTAATACTAACGTTTGTTTTTTTTATTTTTTACTTTTAAAATTGAAACTATATTTACAATATTATATTATTATTTACTACATATTTTATGTATTATTCTGTTATTCATATAATCATATGTTACTAATTTGTTATATTATGGATATATTTTCATTAAAAGTAGGTACTCTAATACTCTATATCTATATATGTACATACATAAAACATGGACATATAAGAAGTGAATGTAATATTTTTTCCTAAATATATTTGTTCTTTGGTAAAATTGATATTTAAGATGTACTAAATATTTCTTTTTTTCTGCATAATCTGAGCACATTTAAATTCGAGTTAAGTATTATTATATATCTCTATGCATATAAAATCTTAACTATACGCATAAAATTGCTGTATTAAACTATATAGTGACCACTGATCATACACACATTAGGATGTCTTATTTTTCAAATAATATAATATATAGCAGTATATAGTATTGAGCATATTGTATGCAACGTTGTCTTATTGACATTGCCGAAATTTGTAACTTATAATAACCAATTAATATAACACCAAAATTAAACAAACCGTATACAATGAGCCGAGCCCAGCTTTATCGATAATGTCAGTGATTAAGAAATTGTAGACAGATAGTTTTGATCATTATTGTCACTATAAACTATATAATTTGCTATTAAATTAATAAAAAAATCATAATAATTCATATTTAAGACAATTATTTTAATATAAAATGTCTTTATTTATATTTGACAAAATAAAAGTTTATGTTTAAAAAAAATTAAGTGATATGTCCATTTACCAAATAATATAACGCTAACTTTTTCGGAGACTTAAAATTCTTACCATATTTATAATGAATATTTTTTAGATGATATTAGTTCAAAATTTAAAATGATAACATTGCAAAGTTTTTTATGCTCAATCGTGTAGGTTTTCTTTTTTATTTCTATATCTTTTGATACGTCGACAAATTTGCAGATCAATCGTGTATTCGTGTCCTTAAAATTATGTGATATGCTCAATCGTGTTTTAGCTAAATATATGTGTGTAGGTAACTTGAGTTCTCGCAAATTGTTATTTACGTATAACGTAAGTCGATAATTTGTCTTTTCTATAACCATACCCATTATTAGTTAAATTATTACAGTAGGTAGATCGTTTTTAAAAATCCTTCGGATATCATAACAATGATCTTATAATTGTATAGGCAAGGTAAAATTATCTACCTTCATTTATACAATTTGAAGTTTAAGTTTAAAGTTTCATCAATTGTTTGTTATGATTTTTTCAGGTGAGTGTATAACTTTTATTTATATGTTACAGTAAGTATTATGTTCCCTGGTATTATATAATATATAATTATATAGGTACCTTACTGTAAATGGTTGCTACTAATATGAGTTATGAATGTGCCTACCAGAAAATAAAATATTTTTCGAATTTTTCTAAACCACGTTAAACGTGTATTATAATATGTACGACATTACCAAAAAGCATATACTTAGGTATGTCTTAAAAATATCAATGACGCACAAGTYTATTAACATATTATACCTGCACACATAATAATAATAATATTAAATTACAATGTGTCCCTAAGTTGTTGACAACCGGTCTTTGTAAATAACACCCATTAAACTGCAACGTTGATTTCGAATATATCATCAAACTTATTATTATTATTATTATTATTCATTCTAATTTTAATAATGACTCAGATACAATTTTTTTGTTTATTGAACGAAATAAGCAAATTGTATTGGTAATCGTTTGTCTATTTAATTTAAATATAGGATTTCATAATACTCTCAATAATTATTGTAGTTGATTAACTGAAGAATTATAAAGCAACGTAAGCTACGTGCTTCTTTGCATATATACGTGTTTGCCTCTTTACGATATAAGTACCACTCTATATACAATATCGTTGATATTTAAGCCGAGTTCATTAGGAATTCTTCAAGTTTTATTATTTTATTTTCTCTCTTTCTCTATATGTTACCTATATAATATACCTACTTGTATAATGCATATACCTACAGGACGAGTATTTCGGGAGGTTAATGACGTATTCGGTTTGAGAAGTGCGTTAATGCCCGTTCTACCGGTATGTTGTATTTTTTTTATATGTTTTAAGACATGCTTTATTTTTTGGAAAGCTACCAAAATATTAAGATTAACCCTGAATCCCCGGATGAATTGCACTTCTATTTCTATAACTGAAATTTTATTAGGCAATAGATAAATTTAAATAATTATACGTATACTTACTTTCATATTTTTTAATTGTTTTATTTTTAATTTCAGGTTGTAGGCATCCAGCAATATTTGGTGAAGCCGACCGAAGTTGACCAAAACGAAAACATGCTGTCTGATCAAGTCACATCAGACATAGGTATCACTGAGAAAATGGTTAAGACTTCTGGTATTCCCCTGCAGGATGCTATCGACAAGGTGAGTTTTTAATATTTGATAATAATAATGGTAGGTTATCTCCGAATTTTTGACAATAGCCAAGCGTTGATAGTATAATAGTAGGATTACTAGGATTAGTATAGGCGGTATATAGAATATTGTCACGATATTATATTATATAAATGTTTATATATAAGTTTATTATATATGTACATTTCAGCTGATAATATTGACTTCGATAGATTTTCCATACAGCTTTCATCTGGTTACCTAAATATGCTTGTCAGTGCAGAGTTCGCTCTACAATTTTAGCATTTATTTAAATCGTGTCCGTTTTTAATGCAAATATTTACGCGTGTTCTTACCCTGCCACGAGGTCACGAGCAATACGTACAATGTGTTGACTATACATTAGTCTGGTGGGTTCTTTACTATGCATATTATAATGCTGTTTACATATTTATTCAAAGCCCATGCCTCATCGATTGACTGATGTCTTGCGTATAAAACATATCATCATATTATATACCTTACCTATATACGTATATCGTATATTTATCAGAATATATTATTATATTATTAAGTTTCGAGTGGATTTCCTCCAGCGTGATTTAAATTTTTCCATCCAGGACACAATACAGTATTAGTCGGTAATATTACGCTAAATACGAAAATTTTTGTTTTTCATTTTTTACTCTCTGCGGGTGGCTGAGCACGATTACGTATATTATAATATGTATATAATACAGGGTGATCAACCCCGCATGTTCCGCAACAGGTATCCGACATCGCACACAGTGCCTATTAAGTACTTTACACATGCCATGATCGCGGAGTACGCGTGTTAATCAGTTTCCTGTGGGTCGACTACACACGACCGCCGTTGTGTGTATACACCTGCATGCAGGGTCACAGGGCGTGTAAAGTTGCTGATAACATACCGTATAACCGTATAATAAATAATAATACCATTCTACAGTGGTTATATACCTACATGTATATTTTATACCACAGTTATAATATCACAAAAAATTTATCGCGTGATGTTAATAATATTGTATGTACACTGTGTATAGTATAGGGGTGGGATGCCTGGTACTGTCTATTTTACCCGAGGTAAACCACCAAGGTAGTTGGTGATGTGTTTGTATAATTTGTTTTTATTTTATTATTATAGTATGTATATGCGTATACTATATGGCACCCGGATACACGAAACAACCGATAACCTGTTGTGTGCGGGGCACATTGCTCCAGCAAGTGTAAAAATAACGAGATTTGGCATCAGGTTTTCAAAAGAGTCATAACCCGGGCCATATGAGTATATGACGTCGTGTACCCAAACTATAAAGTTGTCTTTGAGCGTCATCTACTACTTAGGTATTGTGTTTTGGTTGGATGTGATTCTAATATCTTCATATAATAATATTATGTCGCCATATTGGGCATTCGCATTGATTCGAAACACACTGCGTCAGTCCCAAGTTTTTAAAATTTTAAGTATTTTTATGCTATTATTATATAGTTATAAATAATATAGTATCTATAGTCATTTAAAATAAAAATTGTATAACTAACGAATCCAACGATTACTTTAATTGAAATACGGACTGGAGCCCATAATATAAGATAATCTATAAATAAACATATATTATAGTGATTTACTTAATACAATGTATTATATTAATAACTATAAGATATAGGTATGAATATTAGTTAGAACTAAGGGATGGGTTGACCATTCATTTAATTTTGTTGGTAGGCTGGTGACGTGTATGGTTGGTGGTAGATCCAGATCTATTTAACTGATATACGATTAACTATATACATCTAGGTATACACGAAAATAATATAAACTATAGGGTCTAAACGACTTAACTTGGTTCACTTAGAAGCGGTGAATAGAAATCTCGCGTGTGCCCGAGCAGTACAAGTAGCTACCTAGATTGAAAAAAAATTATAATTAGTTGTTATTTTTCTATGAAGATCGTAACATTATAGCTTTGCGTACTCATCTATAGTCTATAGGTATATGACGGTCGTACTAGGTATATGAATACCGTTTAATACCTATGTGATGAATATGATTTCCTACCTGTTAAACTTCTAATGAAAAAGTATTATAGTTGTCATGTTTTTTTTTTAATGATTTTATCTTTGATTATCTTTATATTATTTCATTAGTTTTCATATGTATATATGATATAGATTTTTTATCTGTTAACCATTAACCATGACGATCTTGTAAAATTATTTTTCATAACTTGTGAGTTGTCATTTAAAGTATTTCTATATTGTGAGGCGTGAGCTGTATATGTCGCAAACATAATATCGGAAGATCAAAAATGGAATCTTAAAAAAAATTATGAAAAATTCGAAACTTTCGAAATAACCATTATAGTGACTTCTGCTTCCAGCCAATAATTATCAATTCATAACACATGTATATAAGGTGCGTTTACGATTTATATAATTAGAAATAATTTTTGAGTTCTATCGGAAGTGTTTAATGGTTACTATAATGTGCGATCTTATAAAATTTTCAAATTATTATTTATCTTGTCCATAATAGGTTTTCTTTTGGTATAGTGACCAACCTCATCTAAATCCACGCCTATACTCTGCATATTGTAAGCTTTCGTTTTCAATTTCGACAATAATGTGATAACAATATTATTATTTTCCAAGAAAAAGGTCGACTGTCTTTAGCAGTTAACTCTAATGATATTACTATCAACCGGTTTAGCTTATGATCGAAAGTAGTAGTTGTAGTAGTGGTAGTATATAGTGATGTGTATACGAATATAATATAATAGATATAAAACTGTATATACGTATGCCGGAATTATACATATACCCGGTAATACTGGTATATACCGCTCACAATCCGGTACTTGTAGCTTACTTGCACCGTTAAACTGGTTTTGCCTATATTGATCTACTTGTCGGTGAAATAGAATTTCATATCAATCGAATGGCTCTCTCAGACTCAAGGATTTATTTGATAAAACTTTTATTAAAAAATACAATGATATAATAATGTAATAAATTATTGACCTATTGCCATCCGTGAAATGTTTTTTAAACATATTGTATAGGTATATAATATTATATATTGTAATGCAATTCAGTAAAATACGATGTACCTATTATATACAATTTACTTCTAGAATATAATATTGTATGAAAGTACACAAAACATACAGATACAGTTTATATATCAATATATATCATACTTAAACCACCAAGTACCAAACTCTAAGCGAAACCCGTTATTTGATCATACTACATAGGTATATAATTTTTAAATGAAAGATGTCGCAAACCGCCGAGAGTAAATCAGTTACCCGTTGGATAAACTAGGACATATCGCCCTTGGGTGTATGCAATTGACTTGAGAATCTAAACGAATTATTAGTCTTTAGATTTAAATCTCAGTGTTTTTAATTTTTGATATCTCACTGTTCGTCGTCTCAAAATTATTTCAACAGTCAAAAACTACTTTTGTATAGACATCTATACTCGTATATTTTTTATGTTTATACGTAGGTACATGATATTTGTGACGTTAAATATAATAATATACTGCAGTGTACTATGTAGTGTAGTAACGTCTTTAATGTATTATTCTACGTTTAATTTTTGGATTAAATTTACAATAGGTTGTTAAACACTTTTCTTTAATAGTTAGATATCCACTTGGATTGTTTATTTAGTTTTCTTGGTAGATATTGATAATCGAATTGACACTACGTCAACACTTGGCACTCTGTTGCTGCAATACCGCAACGCAACTTTTCACAACTTACTTCGATGTGGCCTGGTCAAACACCTTCTAAATATTGTACTGTCCATGCCTATATTAAATTTATGTATAATATACTGGTTGGCCCATCGTGTTTTAAAAAAAAAAAAAGCTTAAGAAGACGCTAAACCCACATGTGTTGTCTCCGCGGTCTTACAAGTGCGTAACAGCAAATTTAACTGCAAATCACGTGTAGCTCCGTTTGATTAAAATTTAGAGTGAGTTGACCTCTTATATAAGTTAAAGGTAACATTGTTATGGAGGGCTTCTCATAGGCTTTTTATTATATTTTAATTTTAAAGCGAATTATGAGTACCTATTTTAAAATTGTAAATTGTTTATATATTTTAGAATACTCATATAACTCGCTTTAAAATTAAAATATAATAAAAAGCCTACGATAAGCCCTCCATAACAATGTTACCTTTATTTTATATAGAGGTCAGCTCACTCTAAATTTTAAATTGACGGAGTAGCTAAGCGTGTTCTGCTAAGCGTAAAATTTGCTGTTACGCACTTATAAGACGGAGACAACACATGTAGGTGTAGCGTTCTCTTAAAACGAGGAAACTCACTATACTTAGTGCCCCATCCCTACCATTTTATAAATAAACCTAATCTAACCTACTCTCATCGTCGAGGATACAGCTAGATACTTTACGTAAATTTTTTAGTGGTATAATTTTCATTTCGATTCCATTTGTTCTGTATATAATTTATTTATTGTTATTATGTTGTTATATTTATTATAATGTATAAAAATACCCTATTGTTATATTGTATATAGTGCACTCCTATTGGCCGTCGTCATCATCATTATCATCTGCACCATTCGTCACAACGGTTTCGGTTGATCAAAATGTTTAGGTTTTCAGGAAAAATTATCAAATTTATTTATTTATTTACTCCTGCTCCTTGGTGGTATAATGACGAGTCACGAGTAGGTTGGCAAAGAAGCCAGTGCACAAAGTGCCCTAATAAAAGCGGCAAGTACAGTTTAACGATTTTGTTCCAGTTGTCGGTCGAGGACTCCGATTCGAAATGTTTTATACATTATGTATATTATATAGTATAAAGTATTAGTATTGTTTACGGTCCAAGTTCCGTTATAACGATACAATAAAAAAAATCACTAGCAGTACCTAGTCATTCTTAAAACATAATTTACAGAAATATCGAGTAGGTAATAATGGTAAATTGAAGATTAAGAACGAAACATTTATCCTCTTAATGT